TATTATTATTTTGTAGTATTAATATAATGATAACCCTTTCACTTACGGCTTTTCTAGTCGAGTATTTGTAATCTTATACTAATTACTGACTTGTTATCATTAGTTTAATATACACAACTCAACAGGACAATCATTTATAAACAAAATAAATACATATAAACCATATCGAAAGATTAGCTGTTCGAGTCATACTGTACACATATTCAATCAACTAATAAACCATTTTGAGTATATCATCGCCCTCAGCCAATTATAAATAATAACACAACTATGGACAGAGTGATTCTAGCTAGGCTACAACCATTGATTAAGTGTATCAATGTTATATTCAATATTTGTCTAACCTACTGTTTATCTGATATCTCTGTTATCTCATAAATAACAGTAATATAGACTAATGTTAAATTGGGAAAACAAAACGTATGTTTCTAAAGCTGCCACGAAAACGCTATTGCAGGGCCATCAAGAGAATTATTAAACATTAATATAATCAAAAGCCCCATATAGTCTATCGGCATTTCAATATTGTTGGCAAAAAATATTTATTCGGGCCATTGAATAAACTATGCCATTAAATGAAAATACTATATTCGGTACATATTTGATTGCATTGAACATCCAGTTGCAGACACATAATACAATTTAAATCATAATGTCCCGAATGATGTGGCTTGGTACAGTGAATAGTTTTGTGTAGAATTTACTTACTCGGTGATTTACAGCATTTGCAGCCAAATTTGCAGACATTGCCAGGCATTGTGATCTCACCCTTATCTTTTTTACATTCTTCTCTGCATTTACCGCGACCAGGATACTGCGCTGCACAACCATCGGCTGGAAGAACAAGTAACAATTCTGATTGAACAAACTAAACAACATTGTGTAAGTCGCTATTTTATTTCAGATAAACTATTATTTTAAGAAACACCGTATGTTTACTAACCTCCTTCAGTACATTCTATTGAAAATAACAAGAATTAAAACGAATAGGTTAGTTTCTAGTTCGTTATCATTATAGTATTTGTACAACAAGTAAAATAATACAATTAGTCACCACATGTCGTTTGGCAAATCCGATGACGTGCAAATCAGATAATGAATATAAATTGTGAGTGTGTTATTTATATGCATAGAGCTTATCGCAATCTGGAATTACTTTATATTATTATCCATCTATTACCGTAACGCAATAAGTTTCACCGTGCTGTAATTTTGCAGTATTTGAGTATTTTCATCCTGCCATAAAAGGTAATGCGAATTCCAACTATGGAATGAATACGGGCTCCTCACAAAGAAGTTCACTGATTCTGTGTCAAACAGATGTATCACTGTCAATAATATCATTCAATTACCCTACGTGAATGAGTAAAACTAATGTTATATTATAATAGCTTTATATTTCGTATTGTAAGATAAACTAAATTGTAGCAATGTAGTGTGTGTTTTATATTATTATTATACTATGAGTGATATAAGATATAATAATAAAAAAATCGTTCGCATTCGCGAACTAGTTTGAATAGACGTACTTTTAACACAGCAACTTTTTATATTATTTGTACAGAAACATGGCCTATCTTGACACTGTTGTTCATCTTTTGCACAAAACTCTTTACACTTCCCATCGTCGCACAGTGTATTTGTTTCACAGCTATCTGTTGGGTATAATTCGTTGATACAATAAATACTCTGTCCGATGTACATAATGTATGCATACAAGGCACTAATTCTAAAATTTTAGTCGGTATACTGCACTTGAATTATTAAAAATAAAAAGAATTATATTCGATATTGATTTGTAAATGAGTTTTTAATAAACTTCTGCAAGACTTACTCTCGTCAACACAGCATGTTTCTTTGTCTGGACAGCGGCATTTTTTGCGTAGAGGCAAGTTCAACGGGGTTGTGCCATCTGGGCATGTGTTTGCACATATCCCATGGCAAGGACCAGCATCACATTTCTCTAAGAAATACAAAAAAAACATTACAAATTAGTATAACATTAATGTACAATGACGGTTTACGTATTCACTTAGATCCACAATTTGTGGCGCATTTTTGAACAATGTTGTCCTTGTGTACCATCGGCGTTCAGATGAACAACCATCTTCTCGATACATTTGCGACAGACTGTCAAAGTGATTATCACCCAAGGGCAATTCTAATTACATCGTATTTCAAGTGTTTGAATTCTCTCGCCATCTAGAAACAACTTTGCTAGACAAATGAGCGACGAAATATGACAAACAAATTCTTCTAATTTGACTTTTTAATGAAACTTATATATACTAGGTAATCTAGTTAGGTTATGTTCAATTCGCTTGACTGGAAATGCTGCATATTTGCGGAACAATATCAACATCATACAATAATCAATACTGAAACATCTATTCGCTCCAGGTCTTCCATAATTTCACAGCCCACCCCTGGTTTCCAAAAACGTAACCTCTTACTTGCAAAACATTCGGATCCAGCAGCCATGCACAAGTCAGGCCCAAGGCTTATCTCATTTTCTCTTGCGGGTGGTGGGTGACATATACCTCCCTCAGCTCTACAGCTCGAATCTAAATAAGAAATTGTTTTTGTGAGTTGAGTATACCATATGGCATCCTCCCTTAAAATAATATAAACTGTCTTGTTTTGTTATAGGTTACATTGAATGCCTCGAAACTGTCGCCTGGCAGAAAGGTATTTTGAAAAGCAGTTTGAGTATGTTTGTTTCTGTTTAAAGGTTAGATAGAATGCTCTTTGTGTATATTACAGAAGACAATAGATTTGGGGATTTGAACTGTCCAACCCATATTTTCTGAGTAATAGTTTTTGTCAAGGTCAAATTGCATTGCGACAAAGCATACAAGTAGAACCTTTAAATAATTTACTTTTACAAAAAAAATAGTTTACATTTTAGAACTGATGAATATTTTATTGACAGTTGCTTGTTCCTGGGCTAAAGCCAAATTTAGTTGCACTTCATACTGGTGAGTATACTAGCGCCATCTGCGTTATCCTATTTCGGTTTCTCGTATTAATTGTTCAGTAAAGCATAATGGGAATAATAACCATATATCATTCAATATAAGTTATAAAGGATATTTACAAGTGCATTGCACAACACGCTCAGAATTATAAGATGTGTACACCCTATGGTATACATAAAGTGATGTCAAGTGTTCTAGAGCAATTATCACTCCCTGCTCCACATGCGTCACTAATCAACTTCTTAAGTCATAACCGAGTGGTTTATGTTTGAAACTTGCTTGGTACTTGCATTAATCTGCATAACAGTGTTATTGTAATAAACAACAAGCTCATTGTATCTTCCAAAAATAGTTGTTCGATGTCAATGCTAGTCGTTTACTACATTGAGCAAAACTTTGGTTCAATAGTTTTGAAATGACATTGCTTTCTTTTGTGCACACTAGTATATAAATATGTACTAAATGCCCGTAATGGATACAATATATGTAAGAGAGAGTGGGGATTTATATATATAAAAGAAATACATAGCTATGACTATGAGAATTCAGAAGTGATTTCACTGTCATTATGGGTATGTCCTACTTACCAACACAGCATAGTTTCCCCTGTGGTCTGTAACAAGAAACTTGTTCCATCCCTTGTTGACATGTAGACTCTATTATACCCCCACATTCAGAATGACAATCAACTCCTTGAATAAAATAGAACAGACCATCGATTTTTGATTTTAAGGCAACCTATGTGTTCGTAAAAATTGATGGTTCTCATAGTGTTTGTTTTGCTATGGAGAATCGAACAAAAATAGTGTGTTTTGTGTGTGTGTTTTCGTCCATATTGCTTCTTTTTTCTGCGATAAATTTTATTTTGCCTTCTGATCGGCCAAAAGTTTCATTAACCAGTTGAAAAGTTGTAGCCATTCTTGAGTATACAGTTCCCGCATGTACGACGTCAGTTTTTGACATGTATTTTGTACATGATGTTTTAAGATTTCATTAACCTGTTTCAAACCTGTCAAGATGATATATTGCCCATACTGCTTGATTTTTTGTTCTTTACTGTTTTATTTTTTGTTTTTGAAAATGTATTTATTTGTATAAATCAGTGGTAATAAGTCATTATTTTCTGCACATGTTTGATATTATCCACAATGTACTCACAGTGCAAATATCTGTTGGTAGAGTTTTTTTCATTTCATAATTTACAAAGTCGCGGATAACTCTAAATTTGTCTAGATATACGTTTAATGCTTTCAGAATTGGTAATTTGAAATTGAGGATAAATAATGGTAAAGATAAGTAAAAAAAATAACGCTGCATGAAAATTGTATAATCAAGACAAATAGAGTACTTACGTCCATTTAGATCTGTGTCTGCATACTCGAATTCGAATGAGCTTCCCCGCTGGTAACGTTCAATAGCAACATCAACATAATGAGACTGGAATAATCAAAATATGCACTAAAATTTACGCTTTAAGTAAACATTGATTAACGATGATACACAGTACTTTTTTAACCTACCTTCGTTTCATTATTGACACTCAAAGAAGAGCATCCCACTATTAAAAGTGAGATACATGACACCAGCTTTATCATTTTTGCTGTAAAAAACGAAGACTTTAGAATTAATCATAACACTATAACACATGTTACATACAACAACGTGTTAATGAAGTTCAAGAATAACAATTTACAGGGGGTAAGACGGTGTTTGTTGGCGGTGGGGGATAGAGTGTTGAGGGGATGGTTACAGTATTCTGCACCTGCACAGATTACTGGGTCGCGATTTATTGTGCAATGCAAGCTTCATGACACCACAGCAAAAGTAGCCGAGATTTTATGCACAGTTTGATTGACTGTGTGATTCCACCTATTCGTATTACTCATTCAGCATTTGTATTTACATTGAATGACATGTTAAAAGCGGAACTTATATTCAGAGATCTGATGAGGACCCACTGTTTGATGATTCTAAAATGAACCATCAGACAGTGGAAATGAAAATTTCCAGCCAGTACTATGCATCTGGAAGAAAAACATCAATTTACTGGAACAGAAAGTTCTTTGGCGACTAGCAATTCACCACTGGGAAAAATCATATATGTACGATATTTATGTACGAGTACTGCTTGATTAAAACACACAGATTCATTGTAAGGTAATATTATGATATAATATGTGTTTACAATACCAATAGCCACTGTTTTTACACGTATTTTAAACTACATTACTTAATACTCCAAAATGTGACCCTTAGAATGTAATTATCTCAAGCCATGTTTATCAAGTGTGACAGAAATTAACGACGCCAGTACTTGTTAATAATAATTAATATTTGATCTAGCAGTGGTGTGACTAGCATTTTTTTTTACAATAAAGGTACGATCTATGGTTCTCCTTTCTCATTCCACTGCAATGTTTAGCTACAAGGAAGGCCTTTCTTCCCCCACTTACCCTTTTCTTCATAGTATATTTTGCTTTCTATAATAAGATTGTATAATTTTCTTCACAGAGAAGTATTTACCCCAAGGTAGAGACAACTTTTGTAGGTATTGTGGCTGTGCTGGTATGTAGCCACAAGCCTACCTATTTAACAAGTCATTGGTAATACATTGTCTTATAGTTATCATGTATGTGCAAAACATGAATGAAAATGGTCTAAAAGCCTTGGAGATATGGTAGTATGGTCAATCATAAAATGATGGCCACCAGTCGGCCATCTTGAATCCGTTTGTAAGACAAATTTTCGTGGACATGTAATCTAAAACGTACAATGCATGTACAAATTGTTAATAAAAATTGACAAAGCATGCATAAAATACCAAATTTAAAAACAAATGGCTGCCAGTTGATCATCTTTGATTCAATCGTGAAACGAATCGACATAGACATATACCCAGATATGTATATTGTATGTACCAAATTTGAGCCAAAACTTACAAAGCATGCAGAAGATACCACATTTTCAAACACCAAAATGGTTGCCATTGTAACATATTGGATTGAATCGGTAAGCGACTGCATGTGCATATGTCCCAGGTGAACTACTAGGCACATGCAAAGAATGAACAGATTTAGTCCACGGGGTTCTGAAATATGACTCTGGACAGACGGACGAACTGAGACCTAATTCTACAGCTGGCAGTCCTTGATTGTCCAAACTTCTATCTTGGTGTTATGTGTATTTTATAGGTTTATTGTTTAAGTTATTTTTAAATCATATATCTTATTTCATTCAACATCACGCTGGTCCAAGACAAAAATACACAAAAGATGATTTGACGTATATGATTCTTTTTCTCATTAACATATTTACACTGTGTGGTGGGTAAGTCTTCCAACAAGCTTTGGATAAAAGGCTTCTTGATACTTTTGCAATTATTACTCAAATTCTTCCGACCAGTAAAATTTGGCTGAATCTCAGTGTGATAATAAATAAAGTGTAAATTTCGAGCATGTAATGCGAATATAAGTATTAAAATAAGTGGTTGCACTAAACATGTGTATCTCATTTTAAAAAATGCACACGATTCAACACACAACACTCATAAAGGTGCCAGTAAAATTGTGTATGTATCACCCTAACGGTTCTCATCTCAATGAGAGCTCAGATAACTGATTAAAGTACGAAAGTTCTAAGCTATGTAGTAGAACAACAGTTAGTATGTATATATAGTTTTAATACATGTACTATCCTTACACTTAGAAGGGGGTCACAATTTCCCATGCTCCATTCAGGACTGAGGTCAGCATATTTCATGCAAATGATTCTGAAGGGTCATATATTTTTATGTACGCGACTTTCAAAAAAACACCGGCACTTTCTGTCCAGTTACTTATTATTCAAAGTTTGGAACAGAACAGAATTCACACAAATGCACAACGTAATTCTATATTTGTTATTAACCTCAATGAATGCGACTTGTCAATGTCTGTAAAGAGACTGATGCTTACAAACTTGAAATAACGAACAACTTTGACCAATCTGAAACTATTTCGTGCGGGGTTCCGCAGCGCTCAGTCCTCGGCCCAACACTATTTTGTTTATACATAAATGACTTCCCCTACTCTTCTGATTTCTTTAAGTTTAGATTATTTGCCGACGATTCCAATCTCTATTGTTCAAAGACCAACTTTATGATTATTAGTGGCCGACGTCTTTTTCATTCAGTGTATGGATCTTTATCGATAAAAAAACAATGTTGTGAAAGAGACCGAATCAGCTACCTTTATTGGGGTTGAAATTGACAAACATTTAACAAGAGAAAATCATATAAAAAAATCAATAAGCTGATCAGAAAAAAGACTGGCATTCTTTTAAAATTAAGGCATCATATTCCAAAGCATACTCTTTTGATATTATATTATTCATTATCCAACCCCATATTACGTGCGAACTCGAAGATTGGAGAAGTACATACCCATAACACCTAAGAAGTATTCTAATTACCCAAATATTTTCAACAAGCTTAAAATCCTTGACATTTATAAACTACACAACTATCTCCTTTTTATATTTTTGCAAAATGTTATTAATGGAATCATACTAAACCATATGTCAACCTACAACCTGCATTATATTCAACACAATCATAATACTAGACAACAAAACAGAAATTATATCTCAGTTTCAAAAATATGAACACAACAATTAGTACATTTGCAATTTCTTATTTAGGTCCAAAATTATGGAACAATTTACCCGGTGCATTGAGAATTAAAAATAAATCAATTTTCAAAATTAAAATTGAAAGAAAAGCTATTATCACAATAGTTAAAGTGATTATTTATATATATTTTACATATTATCAATATTATTAAAATTTGATATGTCGTTTTTCCTTCTTTTATTTTACTATTTCAGTGTTTACTGTCACTATATTATTTAATTTTATAAAAACGTGTACACTAATCTGACTCGATTCGCACTGTAGTTATTTCAGGTCCCTTTTACTCGTGACAATTTCCACTACAACAGTGTTTGTAAATATTTGTATGTGTAACAAATTTAGGTAAAAAACATTGTTATTACTATTATTATTCTCACTACCAGGCACCAGTGCGAGAAAGGTTTATGAAAAAAAAACATTTCCACGACCTGGCTAGTCAACTCATCTGGCACCACTCGCTACATATAATTAAGACAACAGTTTTACAATAGTTGTTACCTGAATGCTTTGTGGTACCCCTGTAAATAATGACGGCTCAGGTTATATCATTTACAGGATAGATACATACTATATATTCTGACATCGATTAGTTTAAACGGCCGAGTCATGTTGAATGTCAGTTAAATAACTCACCTGTTAGCTCTTCCAAAAAACAGAACATGTCCGTTGACTGGTATGTACAGTTTGCAAATAACTCTTTTAAGTGTTTATATATAAATGCTATTATTTGAATAATTAGTCAAGACCACAACAGATGACGCTCTCGTTCGTACCATATATGGCGATAAAAAGAGGACATAAACATTTAAAGAGAACTAATAAATGTTCATTATCACAGCTGGTGTGTGGTTACATCGGAACTGAGGTTTAGATTTAGCAGTTACTTTTAATTTTAAAATGTATTGCAAGTAATTTCGAACTTAAAAATTTTCACAATACGATGAACACTTTTTAAAAGGTTTGGAGGCAACTATAATTTCAACCGATGTGATTGTGATTTGTTAATTTAGCTCATCAACTATGGTGGTATATTGTATATTTCCCAAAAAGGTACATTGGCGGTCTGTACAGTTTACAAGATACTTACTTAAAATTTTACTAATTTGAATGATCGGTCAAGTAAACAGCGGAGATCGTTTCAATAAGCACGCGATGTTTAAAAAAACAAAGTTAATTCTCGACTGTTTCGCTTTAAAAAGATCTTCATTCAATTTCAAGCTTAATAGTTGTCATAGGGGACTACCGCAATATTCTCAAAATCTTTACACCACAATGTTGGGTAGTTCTAACCGGGTTAATGATTATGTTGACATTTTGCACTTTAATGAAATTCCCGTCGTTTGATTAAAATTTATACATATGATGATAAAGTCACTGACGTTGCCAATATTATTCCCGACATGTTGCTGACTGGGGACGGGGAATAGATAATTACCAGCGTCCGTCCGTCTGTGTGGATTCATATCGGGCGCACTATTACAAAAGGAAACGTTCACACGGTGACTAGATCAATAACCATATACGATCATAGGACCTAGGGAAATTAATTAATATTACATCCGGAGCAATCTCACATACGTTCTACGTTCTTCAATATGTCAGGTTTCACATTTACATATTTTAGTCTCAAAGAATTATTGTAGGGGTTTATTTATAATTAATACTAACCACTATGTTTCATGCCAATCGCAACCACTCTACAAATACAAATGTTTGTTTTTCTTCTTTACAGTAGCCATTGAAGTTCGGTGCACATATTTATTTGCACATGGAAACAAACACTGTCATCTTATTTGAGTGAAAATCAAAAAAAGCTTATTATCTACAGCTTCGATGGCCTGTAAACATATAAATAAAATTTAAAGTCATTTCAAAAGTGTATTTCTGAGTAGGACCCTGTGAAAATGTAAAAATATTAACTGAAATACATGTTTCATTATCCATGTTTTATACTCAAGAATGAGATTTGGGCGGCGGGCAATGAATTGTGTCTGTATTTATATCTAAATTCATTAACGGCAATAATGTTCTTGGTGACAATTTTTTTTATTGATTATAACCATTGTTTTGTTTGCTGTCAGCATAATTTGGGAGCCTATTTTTTTCATCACTATTATATTTTCTGATTTAGTTGAAATTGTCAAACAAGTACTTTACCCTAAGATGTTAATTCAATAATTGGTCAACGCCAAACTGAACTATTTTAACTTTAATGTCTTATTTCTTTTTTTACAATTTAATAGTGTGTCTAATCTACCCATTACGTGTAGAATGTACGTTTGCACACTTTTTGCACATTAGAATTCCTTAAGGGAGGGTTGTGTATCTGAAACACCCCTGGACCAATTATCTTCAAACGTCAAACACCTAAAACCTGATACACGTGCGATGATTCCATGGCTGACGACAATTGTGTAAAATAACATTAAAATCACCTATTATGACATGTCTATAACCAGATTTTAGGTAAGTGTCATGCGATTTACTTCAAACTTGGTGGAAGTAGTAACCAAGATGGCTGACTCGACTCATTTACCAGGATACACATATATTGCAATAAGTTATGCTCAAACCTAGAAGCTAAATTTTCCTTACAAATGTATTGATTGAACACATGTTCTTTAGTCGTTTTTGCGAGACACAGTGATTATGAAAATTGTGTGCTTTTGTCACTTGCATACCATGTATATTACTTACTCATATACGAAACAATGGCATTCTATATTTTAGGTGTCTCGGGTACTTGCAGGGACTGTGCATTTCAAAATGCTTGTTTCTGTAAAAAAATTAAAAACATGCCTAAAAATAACCCAGTGTTATTTGACCTAACATATGCAAATGACGTAACATATTCAAGTGTGACTGGTGAGTAATATTTTCATTTTTCGGTTGTTAAATCAAGCATCTCTGTATTTATCTTATCTAGCTGTTGACTTCGATATTATTGGCATAAGGGGACGATAAGTATTAGTTTGCATTATGGAGGCAGAGTTTTATAATTGAATTTACCAATGTATCAGATGACCTTAAAGTTCACACTCGTATTTGCATGAAATTTCATCAACACATTCAGTATAAAACATTCAATGACCACAGGGCTAACACTTAAATGTTAGGTTTATCACTGTGAAAATCTTCTTTCTTATTTGGAAATATTGTTCGTGAATCTATTAAGTAAAATGATCAGAACAACAGGCTAATACAGTATTATATTATATTATATTTAGGTTGGTTGACCATCGAATTTTAACTCAGATATGCATTTGTTTGGCCAAAGACTGTCCATGTTAAACGTATGTTAGTTACAACGAACATTCGTTCAGAACAGAACATAATTCGTCCATAACTATCGTCATTTTATGCAGGAATTACTTTACATTTAGTTTATCTAACAACTCGGATGACTAACTTTTTTATCTTACAAAAAGACGAAAATGCGAGTAAATCACGCACCCATTTTACCTTTGAAAGATATTTTCGTTAGATGATGCACAGCTGGAAAAATCACAGACTAAAACTCATTTGAAACAGATCAGACAGGCAGATGAAACAGCCGCTGTGTAGCTAATTCCTAACTAAGCACCACATGTTTGAAATCTGGCTGGTGTTTATAAATAATTGAATGTTTACTGTCTAGTATTTATTGAATTTAATTAATGGAATAACCGATTTATGATAGAAAATGCATTTTAATTTAAATTATAGGTATTTACTGAGACAAATGCATGTGCATGCACGAAATAAGCCACATTAACGTGCGATATTTATTTCAGTAGGAGATACTATCCAGCGTTTTATTAGGAATACCGTGTTACACATAAAATTTACAGTTTACGGAGAAACCGCGGCACGAGTTGTTACAATATTAAAAGGTCATTTATTATCAACAGCCCGAATGTCTGCGGCGTATATTATGCATGTATTATATATTTACAATAAATACATATCTTATCGGCTGTATTACGTAACAATGACTTGCGGTTGCTGGCCAATGACTTGCTACCCTAATACACATTGTACTTTGTATTGTAATAAGACACACGGTCAGTTAGTGATAAAGCTGAACTATTTATGATGAATCTATGATGTACATTATTTGGATTGCTTCACTCTATATATCTACAGTGCAAGTGCAGCCTGTATAGCGAGTCAAAATACTTCCTATTCGCGTCTCATTCGTGCTGGAACTAATGTTTGCCGAGGATACGTGTGCAATGCATTCAAAATAAAGTGTAGATAATATATTCATGTCATTTTAAAAGTTGGCTGGGTCTATCATGTAAAAAAGGTCAATATAAAATATTTATAATGAATATCTGCCATCTGGGGTAAGATATGCTATAATCAACTTATAGAAAACTTCCACACATATAATTTATAGTGTGCTACTTATTTAAATAAAACAATAAATCGGCTTACAAATAAACCAGATAATTGGCGTTAAAATGAGTACAAACAAAACATACTTTGACATAAATTGTAAGTGAAAAGTACTTAGGAAGATGATTTAAAATAAATCAAGCGGTTACCGGCCCGGTATCCGTGAAGCTCCGCGCAATATGTACATATTCTTCCGCTAAAAATTCAGTGCGGCGCCTTCTTTTCGCAAGCGGACTAAATTGAAAACCCATTGTTTTATCTCCAAAAAACATTAATTGCTATTTAAAAAATAGGAAAAAAATCATGAACGCTCGTACGTTTGTTAATTACGTAGTATATCGTATTATAAAGGTTTCTGTTTACCTATTTCTTGGCGTCGCGTAAATAGCGCGTTTGCTTTTTACTCTCAGTTTCAGGCACATCCTGAAAAACGTAGTACTGTTTTTTTTTAATATATCGCAGTTTATTCTATATATATTGTTAGAAGTTATTACATTTCAAATCATAATACAGAGTTAAAATTACAAATCAAAAAGAAATTTTGTTCTCAAAATATGCGTTTTTGGCGAACCAAATGCATTTCCTCCTGACAATGGTTCTTAAAGACGCACTTATTAGTGCGGTTAAAATAACAATATAAAGTAGCTGGATGTGTTGATGCCATATTTCTCCTGACTCCCCTCTAAAATGGTTAACAAGAGTGATAATAATACCATGTAGAAAAAAATACCTGATTTTAAGATTTCCCCACATTTTAAAATAGAGTTTTTTTTTTATTTTGCTCAATTAAAATATAGTGTTCAATTTGTTGTGTTTTATGTATGTGTATTTCAACCATATTAAAATAGGGTAAACAGTTTTTTTAATTTACTAACCAATAATATTACGTGTGAGAGCACCTGGATTTCTTGAAAAAAGTATACCATATTGATGACACAATGTAGTCCAAAGGCTTTTAACATATTCCTAAGTGTTGGAGCGTTTCTTCAAAACTATGACAAAACGTATAAAGACCAGAGTCTATAAGGTCTCATGTGATGTTGCATGGAGTTTGTATAGAACATTACGTGTTACCTTCTCCTGAAATTGTTGAAGTTTTGTTTCCATTGGTTACAGCAGATGGTGCCTTCAATGTGAAACAACTGGGTAAAAAAAGTGTACTCTTAGGTGGAATTAAATAAAAGCTAGTCAGAAACCTTCGAATTAGCTTGCATTTTAAATCGTTTAGCTACATAAATTTGTTGTTAATGGTTAATGAATCTTCCATCAACTTTGATAGAACTGGA